ATGGGCACAGACTCTCCTGCCAGGCGCTGTGGAGCTCTCAGCCTGTCACATGATGAGTGGCTCTGCAGGTGGGCTCCTTCGCATGTCTGCTTCTCCAGGAGTCATCGCCGGAGAAGATCTTTAAAACGACTGGGGAGTCTAATACAAGCGCCTTTACGACAGAAAATAACCAGGGGGCGATTTCAGACCTTTTAATAACCATAAAACTGTTTCTTTGGGTTTCCCATGTGAAAGATCCGCCTTCAAACACATTCTGCCATGGATCGTCTGGAGCATGTGGCTGAATCCTTCAGTATCCCATCCCACAGCGTCCTCATTTTTTTTTTAAAGGGGCAGCAATCAAACCGTATTTTTCTGTCTGCAGAATTGAAGGAAAAAGAAAAAAGGTCTGATGTCCCCCAGTAGGCATAAATTCGTTTGAAAAGCGTGACATCTGATTCGCTGACCTCACAGAGTCTTTGTGCCCAAGCTCCAAGTCGATTCTGTGACTCAGCTGTGTGTAGCAGCGGCAGCACGGTGTCAGCACTCTGCTAAACCTTCCGATGTGTCTTCAGCAGCATCTTTTCTTCAGATTAAGGACGGGCTGATGAGTTTGCAGGACGTTAAAATGAGCAGCGTTTTGGCGCCACCGAACTGGAGCTATCAACCCTAGACAGCCTGTGGCGTGAAAGGGGATTCGTGTCCTTAGTGCTTTTAAGGAGTGTTTTTGAGGAAAGCATGAGTTAATTGGGTTGTTTGTTGTTTTTTTTGTACTGAAACTAAACAAAGCTTTATTCTAAAATGAATGGGGGATAATTGTAGGCAAACTAATCACGGTGTGCAAAAAGATAGCAGCTGAATTGTTGTTCCCCAATTCTGTAAAACGCTGTGACTCCTGAGTTATTGAAGGAATGTTTATTCATGCTATATGTGTAAGTAATTAACACTTCTCAGTCCATCTAGAACACTTTTAAGGAAGGTTCTGCAAACGCTCTTCAGATTACTGAGGTGTCCAGACAGCAGGTCTGCTGTGTTTTTCTGATAGGAACAACTTGTTTTCTTTTTTTAAAGCCTTTTCTAGAGAGATACAATTGCATTTATGCTTCAGCTTGCCATCGAACTGCCTTTTTTTCTCTTTTAGGTTGTACGTATATGAATGATGGCGTTGTTGTATTTCACTTCTGTCAGAAATATGTCGCTCTCTTTATTTGAAAAGCGTAGTATTTTATTTATGAGAATTTTTCTTGATCAGTGATTTTGTGATCACTTTTAGGCAAGGTCTCTGTTTCTGTAGGAAATAGTTGTAGCAACAGGTGCATTGTACAGTAAAGGAACTACTATCAGACAGCTGGCTCTGCATCTGCCTTTTCTCCTGTCCAATGGAAAGATGTGAAGGCTGTCTAGATCCCCCTACAGGCTTGAGTTGTCTGTCTGAAGAGAAATATTACCAATGGGAAGAGGCCATTCTAGCTCAAATAACACCACACCCTTCCTCTTTAGCAAATTAATCACAATTACAGTGTAATATCCTCGTTTTGAGTTATTTACAGAATCAGGGCTATTTGTGCCAAAGCCCTCTCCATATAGCCTCCGCAGACATTTTCAGTCTGTGGTATTCCTCTGTGCTAGACACTTCTCATTCCTTGGCTTTTTCTTTGATAGCTTGTTGCTCAATACATGTATCATTGCCTGGAATTCAAAACCAGAAGAAATAACTGGATATAATGAACCCCAGCAGTTGTTTTCAGGGATCCAATGGACTGTGAGCTCAGACTGACTTTGCTGAGGCGGTAATGAGAAACAAGGTTGTAGAATCTGCTCTCTTTGTTGCGGGGAGCAAGTTCTGGGTGAACAGTCCAAGCGGTGACTTTATATCTGTCCTCCCTCATTAAAGACCATTTTTATTTTCAAAGGCTGATTCATAATAAAAGAGCCGGATGGCCATGTGATTGTATGTGAAAATGCTTTTAAGAGGAGCAGCGTACAATCTGTTTTTCAGAAATCCTGCCCTAGTTTCTTGGGGTTTACTTGTCCTGAAGCCTGTGATGTTCTGCCATGTATGTGTTATGCATTTTAATCCATTTGATGTCCTTTCAGTAACCGTTAACACAAATTTGTATTCAGTTGTACTTGTACCATATGTACATAGAAATCAAGAGGGATGTTTGTAGTCTTAAGAGCAATCTCATAGTATTGTCTCTTATTCTGTGGGTATCTAAGGAAATGTCTCTTTTCTGCAAGCTTGAATCCATTGAAGATGGATTCATGACTTTTGTTTTGGTATGTGCAACTTTAAATGATGCTTGCAGTAATGTATGGGACTTTGCAGGGAAAGGCCTTTTGGAATACATAGTGCATGTATTGGGACACTGCGGGGACAGACTGATCGGATTCAGCAGTGCATGTAGGATGGACCGATCGGAATCGGCAGTGCATGTATGGGATACTGCAGGGAATGACTGATCGGAATCAGCAGTGCATGTATGGGACACTGCAGGGACAGACCGATCGGATTCAGCAG